AAGACCTGCCATCTTACCTTCGTGAGACATGTTACAGACAAGATCGGAAGAGTCCTCAGGCGTGCATCTATCAAGACCTATTTCAAGCCCCTGAGGAAGATTTCTCAGTTCCTGAGACCCGTGAAATGTAACATTCCCTTACAGGCTGCAGAAGTTTACAAACTTGACTGTGAGTGCGGTCTTTCTTATATTGGACAAACAAAGCGAAGTATTTGTACCCGCGTCAAAGAACATATAGCTGATGTCAAACACCGTCGCGTAAACAAGTCTGCAGTCTGCGAGCATGTCATGGATAAACCTACACATTCAATGAAGTTTGACAAACCCCAGGTCCTTCCAAAAGAAGTCTACCCAGGATGCTGCGAGAGGCCATTGAAATTAAAAAAACATCCTAATTTCAACAGCGAAGATGGTTTCTCCGTACCACCAGTTTGGGATCCAGTATTTCCTCTAATGAAAAATCCCAAACAGACATAAGACTGCAGTACTAATTAATATGTTTTAGTTTATTCTAATTTCTATTATTAATTAATACTAAATTGAACTTAATAAAAATTCATTCAATAAAATAATTTGTAAAGTTAATGTAGCACAAATTGGAATGTTTTCTTTGTAAAATTAAAAATAAGGTATTTAATTAATAACTATTGTAACTATAGTGAAAAAATGGGGTGGTTTGCATCAATATTAGACATAACTGGTTGAATACTGTACCACCTCGCGATCGTACAATCGCGAAAACCTAAGAACTCGATTTTAATTTTGTGTTTTAATTTGGCTTCTAAATCAAAACTTTGTGAAGTGCTCAGAAAACAATAGAGATACATATACTACATAACAAAAATAAAATCCACAGTGCACGTTATTATTACAAGATTATATAATGCGATTTTTTTGTGAACTGTCATAGGGATCAATCATCCTAGAGAACAATTGTAGGTACCCAGAACCAGCAACATTATTAATATTGACGGTGACTGCACTAATCGATTAGTAGGTCCAATGCCCATACAATATTGCCCGTAGCCCAACTAGTTGAGCGAAGGGCAAAGTTTTTTGCCCTTGGTCCAACTAGTTGGACTACGCAGTTGGACCACGGGCAATGAATGCACAATCTATGCCTTTGAGCGGAGTTTATCAAATTCGAAATGGATTCAATCCTGACGTTTCCGAGCCTTTACCTTTGAATGAATATTGCGACACTAGTGCTGGTGTTTATTAATGGAATATGATCCTCGTAATGGATTGCCAAACTCAAATTAATCCCGAGAAATTAAATTTCGCAACGGCCATAATAATGGAACGCGTCCACGAACTATCTAGTGAGTAGACTGTACTAGTAGTTCAATCTACTTAGATTGATTGACATGTGATATATACATATTGCCAGAGAGATCAAGCAGATAACTCAACCGCACATTGCCCGATAACATACCTGTCCCAGACAGGGCCGAATCAAATTACACTTTAATCAATTTTGGATACCCAAGGGCCCTTTTCAACGTAAACAGTAATCCCAATATACTCTAATAGCTTCTTGGAAACATTAGAGCCAAATGGACTCTCTAAAACTATTGGCATGAAAATGGTCTTTGGTAGTTGGCGGTTACAAGGTTAACCCTGCTCTGTGTTTAATCTAGCTCCATTGGTAAGGGGCTAGCTGACCTTAAGTCTTGATCTAGGCCCACATATTCGGTCGGCACGGTCCTGTCAATAGGTCTCCGGTGTATGCCTCAAGTGTCACTAGACACGGGCACAAAGGCGAGTGTTTGCCCCTTTGTCTTCTGCCAATTAGTGATGTCCGTTCATTTAATTCTATCGGTCGATTAGCAACAGAGTCGGTTCGAACATTAATTGCGTCGACTATTTGCCGGCCCCTTGATGGGCGCCAGTCTCGTCCAGTGTTTCTATTTGTGTACATCTATGTTATACATCAGATTTCGGACAGCGCATATAAAAAGCAATCTAAGGACCATTACTGTATACTAAACAGGCTTATGTCACAATTAACATGTTATGAATGTATATTGATGACAATAGGTAGTCTAAGTTTGTTTAAGAACAGTCTTCTACACGAATATTGTAGTTGCAGTGAAAAACTGTGCTCTTAAAATATGTAGTGACACTCGTATATTAGAATACACATATTTTATTATGCTTCTAATCGTAGTTCACAAAACCTATACTAAAAATGTCCAGGATTAGAATTTTCCCGCATCTGGAAAACTTAGCTGAAAGAAGCCGCCTAATAGATTGCGAATGTCTCAGTCCGATATTTGTCTTTCGAAAAAGTCTGAAAACTTCTACCGAATCACGTAGATGCCCGCATATCAAGTTTTTACATTACAAGATTAAATTTTGTTATACTAGCTTTAAAAAAAATGTAACCCGACAAAGAGAAAAAACAGAACTTCGATAATTTTATATACTTTTTACAAAGTAAGTGGGTCTTCTTTCTTATTTGAAGTCTACTTACGATTGTGATCTGCAGTCTAGGGACAGTAAGTCCCACTTGTAACAAAGCTGTGCCCCCTTTGGCAGTTGGGTGAGCCGACTTATAACGTCGTAACAGCCTGATTGCAAATAATAATTATACATATGTTACATTTTAAAACTTATACCGAAGTGAGCAGAAAGTCAGTGATACAGTAAAATAAGTGTGCAGTTTTATAGAGAAACAGCAGTTATGAGGCCTGGAAATTAAATCTATATAAGGTACTTGCGTACATGGCATAACTGGGAATATAGACAAAGACAAATTGAGCATTCCAAAAAACTTACCGCACTCGAAACCAAATTTGTCGTAACTCACAATTGTGAAATTGAGAAAACATGATGTGAAAATTAATTTGTTTATAAATGGATAATTAAATATCAATGTAAATAAAAACAGTCACAATATTCGCAATAATTAATAATTGACTTTTCTCAATTCCACAATTTTAAGTTAAGACAGTATGTGGTTTGAGGTGCGATATTCTTCAATTACATTTGAATCTAGACAGTCCCGAAAAATAAATGACTTTCATATTTGAAATAATAAGGATGTTATGATAAAAGTGAACAAGTCTTGATAACAGCAAACCCTTCAAAAATAAACTTTACACAATTATGTTCAACAACACATCAAAAGTGAAGACTTCATAAGCAATGTAAAACTCAATATATCACAGAGGTGAGTTAAAAAGGGCGGTTACGCCATTCTGAGCCGAGGGTACAATATTAGCGCACTGTCGCATCTTCTAAGGGCGGCAAGATCAAAGGATAGGTACCGCCGACCGCCCATTGATGTCGCGCACAAAGGGAATTGATTGTTGCGAAACTCTTTTTTTAAAAGAGGGATTCATGACACATCTGTTTTTTTATGTGCTTTACTTTTTAGATTGTGCCCTATGGTAGACGTTATTTTAATAAGAAATGATGTTTTTAAAATGTGTTGTAATGAAATATAGGTCAATGAAAATGTAGTGAAAATATTCTTCAGGATTTTATGTCATTTCTAAAATTTTCAAGCACACCTTTAAGGGCGCGTTCAAATTAGCCGCTGTTACCCGCGCTGCAGCAGCACTGCAGTCGCACTGTCTGTCACGCGAAATTTTGTTAATTGACGGTTTAGGTTGGACTCTTGAGATTCAAGGGCGTAATCAGATTAAACATGGATATGTATGGTATATATATGTTACTAGAAATTTAGATTTGTTTTAAGTCTACATCAAAAGAAGCTGATGTAAAAAGCATGAGTCCTTATGATCTAAGGTTGCTCAAATTAAAACAAAAATTGTTTTTCTGCATGGCTTCTTTATACAGTAAATAGGAGGAAATACGAAAAGAAAATAAGGAGGATCTGTAATCCCATAGCAAAACACAAAAAAAATGTGTTATAATGAAGCAAGAATATATTCATTTGTACATGGAATTTAGCTCCAGTGTTTCTGTCTTGCAGTGTTTATGTAAAAATACCCCATTGGTTGCACACAAAGCTGAAATTTGCAACTATGAAATGACATTTTTTGTACACTATTTCTGTTACTTTATTACATTTATAATTATATTCTTTTGTCAATTTTTCATAATTTATTCAAAAGACATCTGTTGTAGCACTGCATAAGGTTGTGTATTTAATGCTTAGAGGAACAGAGAAAATAAGTTTCTCATCTCACAGGTGACCGCACCTAGAATTGGTGATCCGATCTTGTAAATTTTTAACTATTATTATTTTCCTTTAAATTAAAAATTTAAAACAAATATGTCTATTTACTTATATCATGTGTATTTCCTTGAATAGAATATTCAATTGAGAAATCAAGTTGCATGATATAATTAATATACAACTAAAAATATTAGTAAGAAAGAAAAAAGCAATAACAAAGAAATTCATTATTAAAACTCAATATTAGAACAGATCAAGTACTTTTGAATCATACAAAACCAAAACAAATGTGTCTGCAGTCTCAAGAAGCTTACATTTTATGTAGTGAATAATACCTACTAAATGACCACTAAAACTAAAATTACACTAATTAAAATGAATTACTGCTACAAATTACAGTGAAGCAAAGTTTATTTTACTTGATTTAGGGAACTTAAAAACACTACTAAGTGTTCAACTTTTTTTTTATATTATTTTGTTATATACGTCCAAAAAGTTCAAACAAGCGTGAAAGACAGGGACATAACCAGTATTAAAAAAATGGGTCATAATAACGTACGTACGTACGTACAGAATAAAACTTTATTAAAGTTGAACAAAATATATAGAATGCGCCAGTAGATGATTTAGCCGCCAAATAAAGGTTTCGGAACGTGTACCCAAAAACGCTGAGCAAGAATACCACAACACAGAACTCAACCTAACCTTATACAAGAATTATTAATAACTGTTACCTGCAAACGGACACGCTTTATCAAACTGCATTGCTCCTAATTACCAAGTTTAATACCGTGAAAACGAAAGTGTTAATTTTAGAAGTCGTAATCTTGAAATAAGCTTCATTCCTTACCTCGTTGACATCTGAAGTCTCGATGCAGAGTTCGTTACAACTTCACACACAAAACTTTCAACTTTCAGATGAGAACCTTTGCACTGGGTAAAAGACAAACACTTCAAGTAACTTTGTGTCCAGTCTTTTAACTTATAAACGAACAAAAAACAACATTTTCGCGTAGAAAACATAAATTTATTCACACAGTTGACGTCGCCTTTGCCATCACCATGGTGTTGACGCACTTTGACGCCCTCGGGTGGTATTGCCTCGAACTAAAATTTAACGTTTCGTTTCACGTACTTACCTAATATTCATCTTGAAATTTGTAATTATGACACGACATTTATTTGTAGACATAGAGAAAATAAATTACATAATGTATTTGCATTATATTTATACAGTACAAATCTTAGAGGATGGAAAAAGTACAAATGCAGTTTTGACTTTTTCACTTCCCTTTGCAACTAACTACTCGACTAGCGCCATCTATTTTTTACCTTATATTGTAATGTTATACTTAGATATTCCATATATCCTACGTAGCATGTCAGTACCACTTAAACCAAATAGACGCCGAAGCTTCCTATTAATCTTAATAAATTATATGAGAACGAGACACGAGCCCTGTAATGTATCGGCGTGTAGTCGAGTTTAGATTACGGGATGTGCTCAAAATGTGGTAACTGTTTGGTGGTCCATGCACGTAGTAACCAACTATAGTTATCTTAGATCCAGTAGAACCGTGACAACTGATTGTATAGACTTGCGGACAATGACGGCAAGACTCGCGGAGAAAGAACACGGACTGATCAACGGATCTCCACCGCCTTACTGCTACAACCAACCTTTTGAAACCATCGCCACTTTACAGGAGTTGCAGATTGAAGCAAGAGCTTCAATGCAGATTGAAGCAAGAGCTTCA